TATATATATATATATATATATATATATATATATATATATATATATATATATATATATATATATATATATATATATATATATATATATATACATGTATATAAATGTATATAAATGTTGTGGGTAATCGTTCCATGTTTCGCGCACCAATATAGTAAACGTTATGTAATGGATATTGTATTGTACTGAATAGTTAACTGAATACTTCCATACACGTATGTACATACCCTACCCCAAACCTTAAACCTAACCAGCATACACTGATCTATATCACGGTATTTAAGGGTCATCATGTGACGAGATTTTAATATATTTTATATATACACATATATCTATATATATATATATATATATATATATATATATATATATATAATATTATATATATATATATATATATATATATATATATATATATATATATTTATATATATATATAAGATTAGAAGACAAAGTTCAAATACTTCATATGAACTTTATTTCACTACAAATTTGTTTCGTATGACAAGACGAGTCTTGCCACAGTCATCAGGTGAATTGAAATAACATAAATAAATAATAAATAAAAATAATAAATAATAATTTATTAATAAATAGTAATTTAAATTCACCTAATGAGTGTGGCAAGGCTTGTCTTGTCAAACGAAACAAATTTGTAGTGAAATAAAGTTCATCTTATTAGCTCTACTACGGTATTGAGCACTCTACTCATATATTGCAAAGTATTTGACCTTATTCACAATTGTTATGGAGTGCGAATCTCAACGTTATTCATCAATAGATTGATTGAAAGATGGATGAATATAGAGTAAACAATCCGGAAGAGATAATTCAAATTATATTCTGTATGGCATTAATTTATGTAGGGATTGGTTATTGTAGGTTTTGCAACTAATTCGATTCAAAGTTAAATTTGAATCACAACGGCTGCAGATGTTCTGACAGGACATATTCTCTCAGTAAAAAATTAATATATAATCCTTTTAAATTTGCATAAATGCGCAATATATATAGAATTTCTTCCCCCTATAACACAATCAAACACAACAACTCGTGCTCGATGATCATTCATAAATGAGTTAACATTTATAGAATCAGATTCGACCGGAGGGTGCATGGAGGTGCTACGGGATGGTGGATTAAAAGGAGCCCCCACAAAGGATATAGTAAAATATGCAAATATAGACCATAGTTGAATATTTTCCCAGAAGGCGCGAATTGCAATTCTGGTACTCTAGATTTCCACATTTTCCCGCGAGAGAATTCTCTTGAACCTGCTAAACTATTTAACGACGGAATAGTATATGTTTCATGTACTCAGCAATCAAACTTTTTAATATCAACCTTACACAATTTACAAACTCTCTAGTCTCTGCATTTGTTCGACGCCTTAATTCCTATTGTTTTTGTTTATATCTCCCAGTCATCTGTCAATCAATGTAACTTAATATCCAACCTATTATTACAATTACCCATAGTAATCGTATTATAACGTATTTTTAGTACATATTGTAACAATATACACATTAAAAATATTATATAAACTTTGAAAACCGAGGGAAATAATCTTGTTAATAATTGTCATAAAAGTTCGCGAAAATGTAAATCAATCTCTAAAGGCCATGTTACACGATGCAATTTTCAGTGTGCTCAACAGCACTACAAAACACACTCGTTCCAAAACAATCAAAACATAATTACCGACAAAATCCTAGTTTTTCCATGCCTCGCTTTGACCTTTGCACTATCCTGGCGATCTCTGAATGCATATAAAAGTTTCTAAACATTCACGTGTGTATATTTTTCAACGTACGCAATGGCAAAAGATGCTTAACCCTAAAACTCACCTTGAGTAATACTTTGGATTCTCCTGAATGCAGATTGAAGAACAGGAGACAGAGCAAGAACTGTCGATAAAAATACATACTTTTTACTCGAGTTCAAAAAGTAGTATTTCGGAAATATAGATGAAATCGGTTACAGCACTGGGTGCTAAATGGCTACATTCAACATAAACTGGACTTATATATAAAGGTATATTATGGTGTGTAAATATCATGAAAAGCTGGAAATTTGAACGTACGCTCTCACGCTAATTACAGTCTTTAGATATAAAATATGTTTCATTAAAACGAAATTCAGGCTAATTTGTTTGTAGCACCTTCAATGTTGTTAAGCATTTGTTATAAACACGATTTAGTCTCACGACCAATATAGCACAATCATCTAATTTGCTAAAATAATCTGTCGTTATTGCAAGGCGTAATGCTGCATGCTTTCTTGACAATTAAATGTTTTTGTGCGTAGGTATACGTATAGGCCCTACATAATATCGAATTGAACAAATATAATCGGAATAATAATGAAAAAAACAACTTAGTTTTGAGTACGATTTAAGGTACTGTATATTTCGTGAAATATTGTACATCACTATTCAAATTGTCCATTAAAAAAAAGCATTTGTGCTACGTGATAATGTGATTTTTTGCTGTATTTTCAAATTCACGATTTCGCAAAGCAGCTTGAGATACATAACTATATTATAATATAACATTTGTAAATTCTGAACGCTGATTGGCTAAGAGCCGTGTTAATATACAACTCAATGTCAACGTGGAAAATTTCTTTCTTTATATTTCTTTGTGCTATATTATAAATAGAAATAGTTTACATTACAACTGCCCCCGGCTGATTAAGGTGTACTGTTATTGAAAATAATCATGCCTTATGGTTTACAAATATTAATACGACAAAATGATGACTCCTTTTTTTCAAAGAGCTTAGAAGGTTGATAAAGTTGACAAACTTTAAAAAGTTTTTGTGCGTCCATCCAGCTGAAGGAATGGCGCTTTTCAATATAACGGAACAGTGACTATATGAGTCCCTGTTACAAATGTTATATAATGTGACCGTTGTACGCGTTTCTTGTTTTATAAAACTATAATTTTTATATTCGTTGTAAACTTTCCTCGATTTTCTTCATTTGCATTTGCTTTTGACTGACTGATAAAATGCCGATTGACAAGGTGTTGACCCAAGCACAACATTTGAACCCTAACCTTTTAAACTGGCGCAGCTGCTGTTCTTGTTGGCGCGAGAAAATATAACGAGAATAGATACAGACGGTCGTATAGTCTTTCTTGCACGGGTTTTATAACAGGACTATTACGCCTATGCCTATTAATAGCCGCTTCACTTTCTGAACTTTTTCAGGCTTTCGTTACCACACGGCTTCGTTAGGGAGACGAAACAGTTCATATTGGCAACTGAGGTTTTTAATATACAACTGTCTATTTGTTCGAACGTAGACAGGCAACGTGTTTATGTCTCGTTTGATTATGGCAATCAGTTCGCTTGCATTTCGGATATTTCATTCACACGGTTTACAAACTTGGTTGGATAGTTCCGAGGTAGAATTAACTTCGATTCCTAAATGAACTGAACCGGCAATTCGGCTTATTTCGGCCAAGGTTTTACCACTGTCGTAACGTTTCTTTTGCTTGCCTTAAATAAATAATTTCTCCAACGATATATAATCTATTGGCGTATTGCCCCGTATTTTAGTTTCAAGGCACACTTAAACAAACGACAAGTCATTTACATTTTCCGCGCTTGCTTTTCTACCTCTTGTCGTTATTCGCCTTATTCGGTCCTGATTGAAACTTTCAATGGCGTTTCTTTCGACATGTTTTTAAACATTCGCAATTTTGCGACCAAACAATAATATACACTTAATGTCTGCTCCCGAGGGAAATAGTTAGTTTTGTTTTCCCGAGAGTCTCAATGTTTCCCGAGACGAAGTCGAGGGAAACATTGAGATTCGAGGGAAAACAAAACTAACTATTTCCCGAGGGAACAGACATTAAGTGTTTTGTTATATAGCGACGAACAAAAATCAATTTCAACAACATTCATATACAACAATTGTTTTTTGTAGCAAAAACTCTATAGAGTAAACGAGTTTAAAATTAAAGAACCTACTTAAACTGTTTCGGGAGCATATCCTGTTTCCTGTTCTGTATTTTTCTTCCCTTTTACATTTTTTATTTGAACACAAACTTGGAAAATCGTAGTTTCTAATTATCGTAGTTGTGCCGCCATTTTGTTTATTTATGTACGTGGCCGGTCGGGGCGGGCAACAATTTTTCACTTGTTGCCCGGCGGGAAACATTACATTTATCTGAAGTCACGTGACCACAAATCAGCCAATCACGTTTGGTGTTCACGCTAGCTATATAACAACATAGCTTGACAGTTTGATTATTAATATATTTAGTGTTTGCTGATTGGCTAATTGGACCCAGACAAAAAAGTGGGCGGTTATCAAATTACACTGCCAAACCCAGCAGGCGGTATTTTAGACCGCCTGCCACGCAGGCTACCCTGTATGGGTCCGCTGTTCACGTATTACTCAAGTTGTGGTAACAGTGTTGTTGATTGCATTTTTGCGAGTAGGAACATCGAAAAAATTGTAAAGTGTGTTAAAGTTGGCGACGAACATCCGTGCAATTTATCTTATCATCTGCCGTTGATTGCTGGCATTGAAATTTCTGCTGGTATAAACTGCCATGAATCATCTAATAATTTAAAGGACGAGTATGAACGAATTGCGTGGAGAAAATGTGCCTCGGAACAAGTACTAGAATATCAAAGGAGATTATATGATACAATCATAACAATGGATGATACTTTATACACCAGTGATGACGTTGAGAACTATTATCGTTTGATCTGTCGCAGCGTAAATGCAGCGACAAATGTCTACCTCGTGCGAAGTATAAGAAGTCCATCAAGCCCCACTGGAATAATGAACTCAAGCGATGAAAGACAGCTTGCATGGAGCTTCATAAGAAATGGACCTCAGAAGGACGTCCAAGAGGAGAACAGTTTGAAAGTTTTCGGTTATACAAATATGCTAAGCGTCTATTTAGGAAGAAACAACGTAAAATGGTACGAAAAACAGAGGAGAATGATTTCAAAGAGCTTAGTGAGGCTTCCGAGATCGATTACATCAAGTTTTGGAAATATTTAAACCGACGTAGAAAGAAGAAAACATCAACTAATGTGCTCACAACGAATGATGGAAGGACTATCTCAAACCCAGAAGAAATAGCAGATCTGTGGGCTAATTACTATGAAAAACTTTTAACTCCTGAGGAAAATACAAATTTTAATGATGACTTCAGGGAGTATATCGATATCGAGGTTAGTGACATAACAAAAAACTCGTTAGCTGAATTTGATGATATATTTCAGGATGCCATAACTTTAAAAGAGATCGAGGATGTGCTAACAGTATTACCAAATAATAAAGCTGCCGGTGATGATGGCATAACGTATGAACATATTAAGTACTCTGGTGACATTCTGGCTGCCAAGCTGCTAATACTTTATAATAAGATCATTGAATTGGAGTACATTCCAAGACAATTTAAGTTAGGAATTAAGATTCCAATTCCAAAGGGAGGGAAGAGCTGTGCGTCAAAATTTGATGATCACAGAGGAATTACTCTTCTTTGTACTTTTAACAAAATTTTCGAAAATTTAGTACTTAACAGGCTTCAAAATAAAATAAGATGTCGACCCCACCCGCTTCAAGGGGCCTACCAAGCTGAGCGTGCCGGCTTGACGACTTCATTTATTATTGACGAGTCAACTAAGCACTGTTGCGAGGAAAACGGTGAAGTATTTGCCTGCTATGTTGATATACGCTATGAAACAGCAAAACACGTCTTCGCCCAAAGAAAAATAAAAGTTTTAGGCGCAGCTTGTACTCGCGCATGCGCATAACGTCAAAAACCGTCCATGACATAATCAAAATGGTTTCGAGCGCGTGTTACCTAACATGTCGCACTCAGTTTTCATTAAATGGTATACTTTTTTTGCCCAAGATAAAATTATCAAAATTAAAATAATTATTATTCCAGAAGCGGGTAAAGGTTTTTTGGTATTGCATGGAATCCATGTATTTTCAATATTTTCTTTGAAACAGAATTTTGTATGCCTTTGGCTTTATCTATAATAAAAAAGTATTACAACCATTGTGTAATCAGTAAAACGTTGCTCTTTGTTGTTCTCCCAATATTGTGATCATCTTGCAGAGAAAGCAGTCATGGCCAGTACATGTCAGCTTAACTGTCAGTATTAAAAGGTGAAATATGGGAAAGCAGACGACTGTCGATCAGTAAAATTGTCCAGCTTGAGAAGTAAGAGTTAAATATCGCAGAACTTAAAGTAGTGAGTGTTATAGAAAATTACATCTAAATATGTCAACATAAAACATCATGGGCAGAGTCTAGCTAGTCAATTTCCTTGGCAAATAACTAAAATTAATTGTCCGACATTAGGCAAGATAACATTTAAGTTAACAAACTGCTAAAAGTTGGGCTCATTGGAGTGAAATGGGTATTTCCAAAAAACATCAGTTCAGCCTTGCCGTCAGTTCACTCAGTTGTCAGGGTGTCACGTTCCTGCAAGTATGTTTGTTATAGAGTGATAATATATTTTCATTCACTGCATGGTGCATTATATAACACCTCTATTAACACTGAATTTGTTTCATTGAAGACTTTGAACATTAAATAAACCTATATATTCAATGAATAAATATTAACAGAAACTTTTGAAAGTATAGCAGTTGATTTGAAACAATTCAATAAATTATCTCATACCATGTTTAGCTGGGATATGCCTTGGCTCTAGGTAAGCATTTCTCAAAGCATGTACGCATAGCATGTACGCATTCTGTCACAAGATGTTGTCTGGATACCGCGGTCAAACGCCGTCAGACACAGCACCACAAGGATCAACTACATACGTAATTAAGATATTTGATGAAAGTCACTAGTGTTTTCATCAAATACCTTAATTATGCATGTAAAATTACTTGAATAGAATTCCTAATTACGTTTTGCTTGGTTAAGCTAGAATTTTATTCAAATCAGCAAACGAAAACATTCTGTTACGTCTCGATTAATTTGAGAAGCCATATAAACAACTCGAGCTCGCGATCGTGTCTCACCGGGATATCCAAACACTCGAAAACAATGTATGAAAACACTCGCGCTTCGCGCTCGTGTTTTCATACATTTTTCTCTCGTGTTTGGATATCCCAGTGAAACACTCCTTCTCGTTGTTCATATATTACATGAAGAATTGAGGATCGAGTAGATGCCAAGCTATGTTATTAATTTATTTTGTACAAGAAACACTGGCATCTGGCAATCTGTCATATACACAACTATACTATTTGCCTGTATTTGGCATTACAATAAATTTAATTTGATATAAAGGCTGAGTCAAATGTAAGCCTTTGAATAAAACTAATGTATTTATATCATCGTTTTAAACATTGTCCGCGGAAAATTCAAATTTTAAGCCGGAACATGTGCATTCTCAAAATTCACGAATGAAGATAGTAAATAATTTCCTTTCAAGATTGCTCTATTATACATAGACATAATAATATTCTTACCTGGATATTACTCAGTCATCCCTGATGTTTCATCTAAAAGCTTCATCGGCTCGAAATATCAAGCGAAATATTGTGACTCATACTTCGAAATCACGAAATATTAAAAACTTGAAAAATATGGCTGTGTAAATTCAGTGTTTCCACTCCCAAAAAATAATTTCCTACCCAAGTGCTCAAAATTTCCTTATTTTTGAACTGCTGTGAAATTTGTTGCGCATGCGCCAGATTTCCATTGAAGCTTGAAAATTTCCCCAAAGAATATTAACATGCTCTCAGCTTGGTGATTGTATGTCTGTGAATGCCTGTTTAATATGGTGTCCTATCCGGCTATCCCCGCCAAAATTCGAATTTTTAAATTTGACATCCAATTGCAAGTTATCGTCTTACGCATCACTTTTTCTATTTTACACACAATTGTGTGTAATTTGTATACAACTTTTTCCATTTTTTACACAACTTTATTTTCATTCAACTTTTCTATTTTATACACAAAGTTTTGTATTCTGTATAAAACTTTTTCCATTCAACTTTTTCTATTTTACATACAACTTTTAGATTTGAAAACTTTTTATTTCCAACCGCAAACCAATAAGAAGCATACTGGGGGTTCATTGTATCAACCACTTACCAGAGCAGAGATAATTCCTAGTTTTTCTTTCTCTGTGTTAGTGTTATGTTCTCAGGTGAATATGATGTTTGTGATCGGATGTATATGCATACTGGGAAAGCTATCCCAATGCTGTGCCAACTTGCTACGCGGTCAGGACGGTTCGAGTATGTGATATTTCGGAACAGAGTCTAGTTCCTTCGATATCTGTAGCAATCTAATAATTAACAATTATTCGCCGAAGGCGAGGTGATTATCGGGGAATATTCGCCGAGACGAAGTCGAGGTGAATATTCCACGATAATCGCCGAGCCTGAGGCGAATAATTGTTTTAGTATTTTTACACAAGTCTTTTGTGTTATTTGGTACTGAATAAATTTTAATTTCGCTTATTTCTTTAGCAGTAAACTTCAGTTTTGTTATATTCACCTGTAGTTGAATATTACAGCTTAATACGCCAAATTTGACCAATCAGGTTGTAGGATTTGTTATGTTCACTTGTGAAAAAATACTAATCATTATTGTTTTCTGTGTTGGTGTTATGTACTCAGGTGAATATATATGATGTTTGTGATGTTACTCGGAGTGTATATCCACCCCGGGCAAGCTTGAAAAATATGCCCGCCACGGTGGGATCGGGAATCGAACCTACGATCTTTGGAATACTAGCCAAAATACTCAGCCAACTGAGCTACGCCGTCAGGACGGTCATGAAGACGGTCATATCGAAGGAACTAAACTCTGTGCGAAATATCACATTCTCGAACAGTCCTGACCGCGTAATTCAGTTGGCAGAGCATTGGGCTAGTATTCCAAAGGTCGTAGGTTCGAGTTCCCACCGTGGCCAGGCATATATTTCAAGCTTGCCCGGTGTGGATATACACTCAGAGTAACATCACAAACATCATATTCACCTGAGTACATAACACCAACACAGAAAAAAATCTTGATTATTAGATTGCTATAGATATCGAAGGAAATAGACTCTGTTCCGAAATATCACATAGTCGAACCGTCCTGACCGCGTAGCTCAGTACGTTGGCAGAGCGTTGGACTGGTATTCCAAAGGTCGTAGGTTTAACTTATAGAGTTATAAATGTCGTGAACAGGTTAATTGAGTCAAGTGATGGTTCAATGGACTTCCAAGTGTTGGTAATGAAGTTAGAGCGATTAATTTAAACGATTACTCTTTGGTTTAAACGTGGATGACGTATACTCTGGAGTAACAATGGCGGGACAAGCATGCAGCGTAATTAATGAATTGGAAAATGCTGTTGTTAAGATCTAATTTCTAGCTATCTCCTCATATCTGCATTATCCAATTCATTCATTGCGCTGCATGTCTGTTTCACCATTGCTACTCTAGAGTCATTCACGTTTAAACCAACAAGTAATCGCTTTAATTAATCGCTATAACTTCATTGCCAACATTTGGAAGTCTATTGAACCATCACCTGACTCAATTAATCTGTTCACGACATTTATAACACTATGAATTATCTCCAAAATCTACTCTGCACAGCTAAAAGCGATCAGGGCGTGGCAATATTGATCAAACAGGATTGAACAATGTTGTGCGGCCCACTTTGTTCACAGTTGTCCACAATATTGAACAATATTGTTACACCCGATTCAGGCACAACAATATTGTTCAATAGTGTTGACAAGTGTGAACAATGTGTGCCGCACAGCATTCTTCATCTTGTTAAACAGCAGGCTCATAATTTTTACGCGTGTAAAAACCAGTGAACTCTAAGAGAACTGGAACGATAACTTGGCCGCCATCTTTGAAGCCACTCATGATGGCCGCCATGTAAGTATGGAGTGGAAAATACGCCGCCTAATAGATGTCTGTTTTCGACCACTAAATAGCTGTATTTCAACAAGGAAAAACGCTAAAAACTTTCAACAATACCTGAAATTTAATACAAAACATGTTTCCAGAACGTAGAGCAATTATAAAGTTCTTTTTTCAGGAGTCAAAGTGTGAAGTTTTTTTCGGCACGTTCAAACTTGTGTAATATTTTGAATATCAAGCTGTTACCCAGGAAGTTTTTGCTGTTAGTGGATGTAAAATACTTAGAACTATCCAGGAAACCAGGTTTGAATCTTTAAAGTTGAAGACTTTCGATAAAAAGTGCTTTTTCTTGCTGATTTTCGCTCAAAAACAAACTTTTGACTGAATTTCCCGCTCCTCGAAACTCTCCCCAGTCCTTTTGAAAGTTAATTTATTGCTCGCTGAGCTTACGAGAAGCGCCATCTTGGCTTCGGGCAAGTATGGGCATGTTTACCTGCAGTTAGCGTTCCAGTGTTATTACAGTTCACTGGTAAAAACTCAACTCTACTCTGGTCAGTGGTTGATACAATGAGCCCGCAGTATGTTTCTTATCGGATTGCGGTTGGAAATAAAAAGTTGCCAATGCAAAAAATTGTATGCAAAATAGAAAAAGTTAAATGGAAAAAGTTGTATACAAAATACAAAATTTTGTGTATAAAATAGAAGAAGTTGAATGAAAAAAAAGACTGGTGTATAAAATGGAAAAAGGTGCATGCAAATTATAAAAACTGTGCGTAAAATAGAAAAAGGTGATGCGTAAGGCGATAATTTGGATGTCAAATTTAAAAATGTGTATCACAAATGAAAAGTTCGTATTTTGGCGGGCGATAGGAATCCATGGATTAAACTTTATAATTTTTTGCTTGATATAAAGACAAAGTAAAATGTACTCTACGTTTCCAGTGTATAGAATATCTCGTTTGAACAGTAATAGAATTTTATTATGATCTTGACACAAACAAGAAGACATTTACACGCTAAATCTGCAGTCATGCCCGAGGTAAAGCCAATCGTCGCGATCTTGATAGCCTTGTCAAACGCAAAATAATTACAAATTTGGGTTCAAACAGAAATAAGTTCGGTATTAATACGACTAACATATATTCTATACTAATACGGGTGGTTTAAAATGTTTTCAATTGAATTTTCAAAGTTTTTATTTATCGATATGATAATCAAACTATGAAAATGCCGGTTTTTGACTTATTTGACTTGCGAATCAGCAAAATAACTTCCTGTAAACAGAGCATATTTACACAAAACTCTCGCTTAGTCTTCAGATGTACTTGTACGTTCGGTTCTACTAGTTATTAAACAAGGAAAATGTCCAAGAAACATTGGTAAATTATAGTTGTCATAAAACATTTCAATGCTGAGGCCGGTAGCAAGGTCAGATTCAAGGTCAAGGTCAAGTTGTCGACTTCATAACATTCTACAGTACTTCGAATGTTTTCGAACTCTTGCTTCATACAAGAGCAGTAAATGCAGGCATTTCAAAGCAAAATTATACGCAAAGGGGCAATTTTCAACACAATTTATTGTTAAATTCTGTTTCCTAAGTGCCTTGGCAGCAAAAAATATGATTTTGAATTTGGAGGAATCGATAAATTTCTTTGCTATTTGGCCTAGTATTGCACCCTACCTATGCACTGACTGTGATACAATAGTAATCAAATATACTATTTTTAATTTCCCTCCATTGAAATGATCTACTATTGCGGACTAAACTAAATTTTAATCAACATATAAATCTGGAAACAACAGCCAAGTATTAGCTGAGTAGGCAAACTTAAAAAATAATTGGTCCTCAAACCGGCTTTAATTTGATCTCAAAACTAAACAAATAGCCAATACTGCGAACATAATCCAAGTTTTGATCACTAGGGGCAATTTTTAGATGTACAAAATCTTGTTTAATTAAATTACATATCAAACAAAGGCAAAACAAAATTTGGTATTTATTTTTCGTCAAGGTTTTTTGCTATCCAACCACGTTTCTGCACCCCCTCGCCCAGAATATTATATCTCAAAAAACAGTTTTCTGCAGAAACTATGCCTTTTTATTGGGAACATTTTTACTTTTCCCAAGAAATACATTATAAACACGGAAACCTTAAATATTTAAATAATTTTCATACCTTTTTGGAAGTGTAAAAAGCAAAATTTGATTTATTATCCTACTTTTTAAAATACATTTGTCAAAGTTGCTTCGAAATCACTATCACGCTATATGATGTTTATGTACCCTCATCCTTTTGACTGAAAAAAGTTTATCTTTTTGATCATGAAAAGCTATTGTTTTATGGCTGTTGATTACCGTTTTACGTTTATGTCAAATTTTGCACCCATGAGACCAACAAGTTTTGGTAATCCGCGAATGAAAATGCATATTCAAAGAGCACAAAAGCCAGCTCCTAGCTATGTAACTTTATCGCCTGAATTTTGAATCAATCCACAATTAAAATGCTGTTAATGTAGTTGCTTTCCATACTTAGGATGTTAGTGAAGTATTTCCTGTACAATTTAAATTCCTTGATCGCCTTCTTAAAAATGTAAAACAAAAAGTTGAAATTTCTTTGTGTTATTTTTTTAAATTTTCGAATTTTTGTAAAATATCACATGCGCCTGCGCTTTGTACAGCGACAACAAATTTCCCAGCTGTTTTATTTTTGACAAAAATTCCTTGCACTATTAAAGAAGATGAATTTTACGTTGTTCAAAACTGATAATTACACTGAATTTATCCTGAATGACGGTGTGTTTCTCACCCGAGAAGAATCATGGGTGATTATATTTTATGAATTAATTACAAAGGAACTTCAGCAGAAGGCTTGAGGTCATCCCTCAGAAATGTTTCAGATTTTCCATTCCCCAGGAACGGATTTTCGACATTTCCTGACGTAAATTTGCTTGGAAATTGCAGTAATCTTAGGATTTATTAGAAGTAACTTAATTAATATCCTTAATATCCTATTGCTGACAACAAAATTCGTTGCCATTTCCTGGTAAATTTTATTTCTTTTGCAAACAGCTGGGAAATTTGTTGTCGTTATGCAGAAAAATTGCTGGCGCGCGCGATATCTTACAAAAATTCGAAAATTTGAAAAAACAACACGAGTGAAATTTCAAGTTATGATTTTGCATTTTTAAGACGGTGATCAAGGAAATTAAATTGTTGTAAAAACTTCACTAACATCTCAAGTATGGAAAGCATCTACATTACCAGCAATTTAATTTTGCATTGATTCAAAATTCAGGCGATAAAGTTACATAGCTAGGGGTTAGCTTTTGTGCTCTTCGAATGTCAGTTTTCATTCGCGGATTACCAAATCAAAAGACCTTTATTTGCATGACCTATTTACAGTTATTGCTAAAGCATTTAGTGTAAATAAAATTAACAATTAATTAATCTACCAACTGACAATACCAGCTATTTACAAATTAGTAGTTTCAATTAATATTTACAAGTTTAAAATAGTTTCAATTTAGGCTAGTATAGCAATACATATATATATATATGTATTTATGTAAGGTAGGACCATTAGTTATTAGGTCTTGTTAATGTTATTTCCGGTTTCAAGGCATTCATTTCGTTTGGTGAAACAGGTCAGGATGTATTTCGAAAATATATTTAATAGTTTTGGGTCATTAGATGACATGATGGATTGAAGATCATCATGACAATCTAGTTTTGTCATAAATTCTAATCGCAGCTTTTCATTTAAAATTTTTCTATCATTTGTGTAATATTTACAAAATAGGGCAAAATGACATTCATCTTCAACTTCACCCATGTCACAAAACTCGCACAGTCGTTACTCACGAGGCACATTGTGGTAACGGCCACATTCAACATTAAGTTTATGGCAACTTATGCGGAATTGGCTAAGTGCTCTTCTTTGTGGTTGATTTTTTATGTTTGCAAGGTATTTTTCTAGCTTGTAGTCGGTTTTAAATTTTTTGTAGAAATCTAATTTGGAACAGTTGTTTAATTTATGTTTCCAAAAGTTGTTGTATTTGACTTTGGCGTTATCTAGGTATTGATGTAGATGTGAGTTTGTTGTGAGTTCTAAGTCATTGAGTTCGTTTGTGGAGCTTGCGTAATTTTTAATTAAGTGCATTACATTCGAGTAGAAACTCGGTTTGTTGTCTAGAAACAAGTCCTTAGAAAGGAGAAGCGCTTGCTTTACAATGGTATAATCGGGTAGGGTGTTGATGTGTACTATGTATTTTATCAGTCTTTTGAGAATAGCAATCAGTAGTGGTAATTTTCCCATTTCACCTCTGCTTGCTATATTGGTTGCTTTACGATTTACACCAAGGTAAATTTTACAAAATTTCGAGCGTATTTTTTCAGTTGGGGATTGGTCCCATTTGTTGAGGTCATGGTTTGCAAAAGCGCCCCACACCTCGGAGTTGTATAGCAGAATAGGCGAAATTATGCTATCAAATATTTTGATTGCTAGATTTGGGGGTAGCTTGCGGATATCAAGTTTTTTCCTTGTAGAGTTCATGGCACGATGAGCTTTGTCAGCAAGTTGTTTGACTGCTAAAGTAAACTTTCCGTTTGATGAGAGGCTAAGTCCTAAGTAGTTGTATTCTTGAGTCATTTAGAGAACTTTGTTCCCAATTTGAAAATTTGGTGTGGGTTGTTTATTTGATGGTTTTTGGAAGATCATGACTTTGGTCTTTTTCATGTTTCCATGCATCATCCACTTTTTAGACCAGTCATTTAATTGATTTAAACAGTTTTGAAGACCAACCTTAGATCTTGATAAGATGACAAGATCGTCGGCATATATTAGACAATTTAGTTTTGTTTCATTGGGTAAAATTACCGGATCCGAAGGTATGTTGTTAAATATGGGGGGTAGGTCATTTAGAAATATATTGAACAGCAAGGGGCTCAATGTACATCCTTGACGTACCCCCTTGTTATATGGAAAAAACGATGTTCTATTATTTGATTGTTTAACAGCACATTTTGAATTGGAATATAGGTTTTTCATTAATTTGTAGAAATTTCCACTGATTTTATTCTTAAGTAATTTTAAGTATAATCCGTCATGCCAAACCGAGTCGAAAGCTTTTTTGAAATCGACAAAACATGTATATATAGTCGTCCATTCGTTTTCTGGTTAACATATTTATCGGTTAAAGTTTTTATAGTAAGGATGTGATCTGCCGTTCTGTGGCCGGGTAGAAATCCTATTTGTGATGGGTGTATCAAGTCATTCTCTTTGGTGAATTTCAGTAGTCTCTCATTAAGAATGAGACAGAAAAGTTTCCCAAGACAACTCGACACACATATTCCTCTATAATTATTACAATCCGACCTGTCATCAGATTTAAAGATAGATGTAATTAGTCCCTCACACCATTGTGTTGGAAAGATTCCTGCTTTTAGGATCAGGTTGAAAAGTTTAACGTAGGCCTGGAGCATAAAATTTATATTGTATTTAAGCATATCATTTTTTATCCTATCAGAGTATGTGGACTTGTTTCTTTTTAATTTTGTGGTAGCATTTCTAATTTCTGTTTCTGATATTGGTAGATCTAATTTATCATGCTGGCTCAAATTTTCTTCATGTCTATGTAGTTCTTTTAGTATTTCTTGCTGTTCTGTATTAAGATTGTGTTTTGAATGTAGGGTTTGAAAATGTGAATACCATTGTGATTCAGGTATATTGTTGGGTGTTGTGTTTGTTATGTCATCATCTACTGTTTTTAGCACTTTCCAGAATGACTGTGGGTTTTTTTCAGCTGCTGATTCTAACTCATCGAGTTTTTGTTGGTAGAACTCATCTTTCTTTAGTCTAAGAGTATTTTTGTAATCTTTCAAACTTTCATGATAGCTATTTCGTAAGTTCAGATTTTGTGGATCTTTATGTTTTTTGTTTGCTATTTTCCGAACTGTGTGTCTTTTAAATCTGCATTCTTTGTCAAACCATTTTTTGTTGGCAGTATTTCTAATCTTCCTACGCCGGGTTACTTTCTTAATCTTAAGACTTTTCATTCCTGCTTCTAGGATGATGTCTTCAAAATCATTTAAACAATTATTGATTCCATCACTATTGGATGGATATTCATTAATCAGAAAATTTTGAATTTTTTCTTGGATGTTTGGTGATTTAAGGCAATCTGAATAGGTTCTAAAAGAGTTATTGTCCCAAATGAATTGGTTTGGGAGTTTATGAGAAAAGTTAGGGTTGCATGTATTATTGGAGTGGTTTGTATCAATAGTTTTCTTAGTATTAATCCATGTGGTAATTTGGCTATATGGTCGAAAAGATAGCTTGGGGGTTTCACAATGAAGGAGTTAATGCTTTTCATGAGACTAGTATTGCAAATAGCATAATCAATTACACTTATACCCCTCATCCCCTGGAAGGTAAGTTTTCCAAGCGAGTCTCCTTTTGTTCGGCCATTTAGAATTCGTAAGTCACAGCTTTTACAGATTTGTATTAGGTTTTTACCATGGTTATTGATAATGCTGTCAAAATTTTCTCTAGTTTTTTCATCAGTGTTGTCTTGTGTGTGGTCTGGTAAATGTTGGTTTTCTTCGTTAGAGATGAAATCATCAAGTTTACTAGTTCTAGCATTAAAATCACTAATAATTAACACATCTCCTTTTGCAGAGAATGAGGTTATCTCGTCTTCTAAGTTTTCAAATATCTCACTTTCAAAATGTTTTGAGTTTTCAGGGGGTATGTAAATACCACATAGGAAAAGATCATTTTCAAAATTTAACATATTTTTTGAGATTTTACACCAAAGGGAATTTTTTGTTTTTTTTATAATAGATACATAACTTTGAAATTTTAAGTTAAACAGTAAAGTAATGCCGCCTGAGAATTAGGAGTAATTAGAAATAATTTTATACTAAATCTAATATATTGTTGTTTTTTTTTATATACTATATCTAATAAATTTATAAAGTTTAACTTAGCAGTTTCTAAATGTATATGTAAAGCAGATAAATGAGCCTAAATTATATATTAACAGACATACCCATATAGAGATTTCACCAGCTCGATGAACTGTGGTGGTAGTGTATTACTAAGGTTTTGAGTATTTTCTTGTCGTAAAGGTTTCTCTGTGAGTTGATGGAATGGGTGGAAATGTGTAGGGGGAAATGGTCTTGGGGAAAGTGGGTTAGGTGTGGGTGGGATTCCTTGTGGAGGCATGAAAAGAGGTGGTAAGTATCTTTCGAACGGAGGTATTCCTCTTGTCGCGAGATTGGGTATAGCCCCAGGGGTGGGGGGTTGGTTTGCTTGGAAAGGTCTGGTCATTTGGGGTTTCTGGTTATGGGGTGGTCCAGAGTTTTGTGTTGAGGGATGGTAAGTCTTCTTATCGGTGTTGGGAAATTGTGAAGAGGGTTGACTTTGTCTTCGGGTATGGAAATAGCTCGACTTTAGTTTTTTAGCAAAGATTAGGAATCCTAGCCTATTTAAATGTTTTTTTATCGCGAAGATGGTTGTCTGAGGGGGAAAAGGTTGTTGTGGGTTATCAAGTGGACATTTTTCTTATGTTGAAGTTTGTCTTTCACCAGTTGGTTAACAATGCCAATGTTGTGATGGAGTTTGTCTAGCCATGGGAGTAATGATGAAACAATTATCTTACAGTTAGGTAGTTTCTGTATGATGGCTTCCACTACATTTACAATACTTGAGGATAACGACTCATCATCTGAAGCTGTTTCAAGGTCGTTCGTTCCGCTGTGTAGGATTACAGTTTTTGTTCCTACGAAATGGGTTTGTTTGATTATTTCGTTGGCAGTTGGAAATGTTGGGCATCTTATATATGTGCACGTTGTATCAGGACATAACAGCTTGGTGTCTATCATCTGGCCATTTGAATCACAGAGTATCACAGTCTCGCTACTGCATATTTTTGTATGAAACTGTTCGTTGTTAGGTGTGTTTAGGGTGCCTTCATTTTCTCTGGGGTTGTTTTCTTTTTTCTCAGAGGACTCGTCATCAAGTACCGAATATTTGTTGGATGTAGGAATATTTGTGGTTTCAGAGGTGGAGGTTTTGTTGTGTTGGCTGTCAGTGTTCTTTGAGGGCTGCTCTGGAACATTGTGAGTGTTTGAAGAAAGAGTGTTTATTTTTATTTTTAGTTCAACAAATTCACTTTGACTTTTCTTAACAGATGTTTTCAGTTTTGATGTTTCATCTTTCTGATCATGTAGCATCAGGGTCAAGTCACTTATTGTTTGTTGCATGGCATTTTGCTTTGATTCTTCACTGTTCAATTTTTCTTTGAGTTCAGTTATTTCTTCATCCTTACTTTTAATTAGATCAAAAGCATCTTCGATCTTTTTTAGCAGATCTTGTTTAAGTTCCACAAAGTCCGATTCTAATGTGGCCAGGTTGGATTTAACCACATAGAAAAATCTTTCACGTGGTGTCGTGTCAGGTGATTGTATAATTTGTGGGGTCGTTTTTTCTTCATTTTTCTTTTCATTCTTCATGTCTTTCGATGTTTTCTCCTCTGGAGTGCTAGTTAAATTGCTTATAGTACTTGGTGTCGTTATTAGCTTGAGGAAGTCTAATAAGTTCGAGTAAGTTGTAGCGAGTAGCGCAGGAAATTCAATATTCCCCCATTCTTTAAGGACTCGATCTTGTCCTTGAATATGGATTCTGCCAGTACTAGTGTAGATTGTTATTGAGATTATACTGCTTGAGTTATGCTCAAAATAAAGGATTACTTTGTCACATTTAGATGTGTCGTTATATGATTCTTGTTCTTCCCAGCGTGACCACATGTTTGCGCCATTGGTCTTTTGAAGGTCGATAATATATCTTTGATATAGAGCTTTAATCCATAGTAGGATTCGTTCTTCGGACGTTGTATAGGCTACCATGTTAGCCGAGGGCTTGTATATTGAGAAATCCAATTTCTCGAAAGGAACTTGCTTTGATCCTTTGGCAGATTTGAATTGGTCAACTTGATATCGTGTTAGCGTGTCGTCAAGAGTCATTGGTTTCATCGATGCGTAATTTGCCATTTTCTCACCTTTCTTCGCCGTCTTCATTAGGAAATTTCTAAAATTTTGCTTCTAGAGATCTTTAAAATGATTTTTGTAATAAAATATTTATGATTACTCCTTTATTTCACAATAAAATTTGAATAACTCACGGGCGAGAAAATTTTATGTCCGCCATGGTGTAAACGTAAACTGCTAACCAATAGCTATAAAACAAATAGCTTTTCATAAAGATAAACTTTATTCGGTCAAAAGGATGAGGGAAATAAACATGCTACTGCGTGATAGTGATTTCGAAGCAACTTTGTCCCATATATTTTAAAAAGTGTGATAATGAATCAAATTTTGCTTTTTCCAATCCCAAAAAGGAATGAAAATTATTTAAATATTTAAGGTTTCCGTGTTTATAAAGTATTTTTTTGAGAAAATTAAAAATTTTCCGAAGTTGGAGATTGTCAATCTTTAATATTTAACAGTTTATGGCATACCTGAAGTTAATTAATGCGCAAGTGTCACCAAAAAGCATGCGGTTTGTACATTGCAAGAATCTGTGTGATTGTGTTGACACGGGGCGAGAATAAATATATTTTTCATAAAAGCGTTTGAAATCTCTACTTTTAGTGAGTTGTTGTGAATATAGGAGGCAATTCACGACACAGTGGCACCTCCGAACGGGATTAATCGTGAGTTAGCTCGAATCAAGAGCAAAAAACCCGTGCTTGTTGTGAAGAATCGACATCAATTGTGAAATAATATATTTTATATATTCTCGAGTATAACATGGATAAACAACTAAACGAACTCGTGAGCAAAGTAAAAGCTCTGAGATTTAGGCAAGGAAGAACCGAAGAAATAATGGCTAAACAAGACCGACAAGCGTTTGAGTGTCAGCGAGAATCTATTGACAATGTCACCAAAGCGATAATCAATCTTAAAGAGACCATAGAAGAAAAGAAATTTTTCAAGGGCGAGAGCGAAGAAGACGTCGCAGAATGGGCTAAAGAATATGAAGACGAACTTGCTATAGCGGACGAAAATGTGCGAAGATTGGCTCAACAAATTAAAGAAATCGATCGCCGAGAACAACACGAGAAGGCAGTGCAAGATCATAAGAAAAACCTTGAATTTGAGCGAGAATTACTCGAGCAAAAAGCTGAATTTGAGAAAGAACGCGAGAAAGAAAAAGCAAGCGAAGCAGAAAATAGCGAACAATGTAAACAAAATTCTGCCGCTAAATTACCGAAGTTACCTGTAACGAAATTTGACGGCAAATTCGAATCATGGCAAATTCGAATCATGGCGAATTCGACGGCAAATTCGAATCGCTTTGGGGAAAATTTACTTCGGAAATCGAATCAACAAAAATACCAATCTTAACGAAATTTGTCTACTTAAAAGAATTACTTGACGAGTCTGTACGTTGTGACATTGACGGCCTGCCATTTACCGAAGAGGGATACTCAAAAGCCAAAGATATTCTAGATCTCGAAACCGAATACGGATAGCCAGCTGAAGTTGCGAACGCATACATTGTAAATATCACCAATCTACCGGTAATTTCAGGGATAAATCCTACTAAAATACACGATTTCTATAAACAACTGAGATATAACGTTCAAAGTCTTGATACACTTGGCAAATTAGATGGAAATGTGGGAGCAGCTTTGGACTAGTTAAAGGGAATAAAAGCAGACCTATAGTACGCGGAAATGAAGGCTGGCAAAAATGGAGCTTTGGTGATCTTCTAAAGGAGCTGAAAAAGTGGAAAGATATCAATCCGATCGAGGAAAAATCAGAGCCAAAAGATCAACTAAAAGGCAGGAAAGGTTCAAGATCGAAGTTTTTCCATGCAAAGGATTCGGGACGCGACACGCGAGAACGAGGTTGTGTGTACACAGGCGGCCCAATCTCAGAATGAATGATCAGGTGTTGCGGGTTTTTAACGGTTTTTATAAACAAATTTATAGTCAACCAAAACTATTTTAAAAACATTCTTAAATTAGTCAAATAAATACATTTTAACAATAAAATATAGTTGACATGATAGTATAATACTTTTGCATTCTTTTAATTACTCCATGAGCTCATTTAGAGCGGTTGATGTAACATTTTCTGTGGCCTACATTGTGTGTGCTCATCTATATATAATATAACAGTAAAAGGCTAATCACTGGCGGCACGACCGCATCGCCTTTAAAATCAAATATCTCCGCTCAAACTTCTCGTACGCCAAAACAAATTCGATTACATCTTTTCACAAAGATTTCTCTTTCTAAATAATATAGTTTGATCGTATGGCTTGGCCAAATTTAGCGACGAACGGAACCAAAATCTCCTCAATTTCGGATACTGTTCAAAATACTTAGGGCTACTCGGGCACGATCGTGGACGTGATGTAATCAATACATACTGACAATAACGCCTTACCGCCTTACGTGGGGTGGGACAGCATAAAGCGACAAACTATCGTCGAATTTGATATGCTGTCTCACCCCGGCACAGAAAAGAAAATGGACCAGAAGCCTCACTGTATATCTTTTCCTAACATTTTCGTGTCCGCGATTTTCGCCTTGCGGATCACGAATTTCGCACGCTAGATGACCTGTGTGACACTTGCTGCGAACATCACGTCAGCGTTCGTCAGCAAAACGGTTAAAACAGCAATCTTTATTAGCTAGTGATGGCGTTTGATGGCGTCGTGATTACATTTGCTGGCTCGCGCCTGCGCATAAAAAATCTCGGACATAATTTTGGCTAAGTGAGGCTTCTCGTCTATTTTCTATTCTGTGACCCCGGGTAAGGCGTTATTGTCAGTATGTATTGATTACGTCACGTCCACGATCGTGCCCGAGCAGCCCTAAGTATTTTGAACAGTATCCGAAATTGAGGATATTTTGGCTCCGTTCGTCGCTAAATTTGCCCAAGCTACGATCAAACCATATTATTTAGAAAGAGAAATCTTTGTGAAAAGATGTAATCGAATTTGTTTTGGCGTACGAGAAGTTTTAGCGGAGATATTTGACTTTGAAGGCGATGCGGTCGTGGCGCCACTGATTAGCCTTTTACTGTTATATTATATATAGATGAGCACACACAATGTAGGCCACAGAAAATGTTACATCAACCGCTCTAAATGAGCTCATGGAGTAATTAAAAGAATGCAAAGGTATTATACTATCATGTCAACTATATTTTATTGTTAAAATGTATTTATTTGACTAATTTAATTTAAGAATGTTTTTAAAATAGTTTTGGTTGACTATAAATTTGTGTATAAAAACCGTTAAAAACCCGCAACACCTGATCATTCATTCTGAGATTGGGCCGCCTGTGGTTTGTACTGCGAGGATTCTACGCACAAAGGCACGAACTGCCCAAAGGTTGTAACAAGAGAACAAAGGAAAAAAATTCTGGCGGAAAAGAGACTATGCTTCAATTGCACAGGAAGTCAACATCGTGCTGTCAACTGTAAAAGCAAACCCCGATGTCAGAAATGTAGCAAGAAACACCATACTTCAATCTGTAAGCAATCAGAACAACTCTTAGTGGCTGGAGGTCATATGAACACGCGCGTTATGCACCAGTGGTTATAGTCGAAGTTGAAGGTGTTAAGTGCAGAGCCCTACTCGACACAGGAGCAGGCAGTTCCTACGCGTCGGCAGCACTTTTGGATCGCATTCCAAAGCGGCCGTCCAAGAGTGAAATACGCAAAAATTGATATGATGCTCGGCGTGACAACGAGGGAAGTCGAATTGTCAACCATTGAAATCAAGGGAACATCGGGTAAATTTTCAATGAAAGTCGAAGTCACCAAGGTGAACAAAGGAGAACTTGTGTTCATAGATAATCCGAGATATCAGAACATGAAAGAGCAAAACCCACACTTGAAAGGAGTCATCATGGAAGACATTGATCAGAAAGAGCGACTTCCGATGCACATCATTCTTGGAGCAAGTGACTACGCAATGTTGAAAACTGATCAGCCACCCAGAGTTGGTAAATCGGGGCAACCGGTAGCTGAGTTGACACAGTTTGGATGGACCATCATGTCCCCTGGAAAAGAATCCTGCGACGTGACCAATGTGCTTTTGACTCAGACATCCCAGGCTGATTACGAAGAACTGTGTCGCCTGGATGTCTTGGGTTTGAAAGATACACCCACCAACGACCAGCATAGTGTATTTGACGAGTTCAAAGAACAACTCACCCGGGACCCAGCTGGTTGGTCCGAAACAGGGCTACCGTTGCGCGGCAACCATCGTGTATTACCCAACAACGAAGCTAATAGTTTGCGACGATTAGCAAGTTTAACGAACAGACTCGAGCGGCAAGGTTTGACAACCAAATACGGGGAGATAATGGAGGAACAAAAGGCAGAGGGGATAATTGAGAAAGCTGAACTGCGGAGCGTAGGAAGAGAGTCGTCTATGACGCTTCTGCCAAAGTACATGACCGTGTTCCATTGCTGAATGAGTGTCTACATCCGGGACCTCCATTGCAAAATAGAATGTGGGATGTGTTAGTTAGAGGACGGTTTCATCCAGTAGCTCTGACGGGTGACTTGCAAAAGGCCTTTTTGCAAGTACGTATTCGTGAAAACGACCGAGACGCGCTTTGATTTCACTGGCGGAAAGATCAGCAATCAGAGCTAGAGACCTTGAGATTTACTAGGGCACTTTTCGGGCTTGTATCATCTCCTTTCTTGTTGGGGGGTGTTGATGCACACCTGAGTAACTGCGAAGAAAGAGAACCGGAAGTAGTAGCAAAACTGCGTGAAGAGTTGTACGTGGACGATTTGATAACGGGGTCAACATCAGTATCGGAAACGGAACAAGTTAAACAGAAAGCAACAAATATTTTCGAGGATGCGGGGATTAAGCTTCACAAATGGCACTCGAATGAGCGTGAATTAGAGACGACAGTCTCAAGACGGTGATCCTACCTATACAAAACAGCAGTTATGGACCCCAGAAGGGGGAGATAATAGCTTGCTCGGACTTGCGTGGAATAAAGAACGAGATACAGTTCACCGTGCAGCATGTGACACC